TGGCCTAAGAGAACCTTCCCATCTGAGGTCCTCTAGATCAGGGGTGTCAAACTTGATTTCATTGTGGGCCACATCAGGGTTGTGTTTCACCTCTTGGGGTCGGGTGGGCATGGCCAGGGTGGGAGTGGTTAGCTTGGCATCACTTGTCTGGTGGCATCTCTGGTGGCCCGAGCACTCTGCCAGCGAAAACGGGCTCCTGAGCTCCGTTTTCAGCTGCCACGGCCTCCCAAAACTCTCTTCACACAGCCCTGCCAAGCTCAGTTTTCACTGGCAAAAGCACCATGGACTGGTCCTTGGCTGTTTCCAGGCAGCCCCGCGGGCCAGATCTAAGTATCATGTGAGCTGGATTTGGCCCCCGGACTTTGAGTTTGACACCACTGCTCTAGATAGAACTTGGAGCTCCCAGGATCAGAATAAAGAGTTGGAAGGGACCTTGGAGTCTTGTAGTCCAACCCTTGCTCAAGCACAAGGCCCTAGTCCAGAGAACTGGTAGTCCAGTCTCTTCTTAAAAGCCTCCAGTGATGTAGCACCTACAACATCTGGAGGCAAGTCATTCACTGGTTAATTGTTCCCATTATTGGGAAATTTCTCCTTAGCTCTAAGTTGCTTTTCTCCTTGATTAGATTCCATCCATTGTTTCTTGTCCTGACTTCAGGTGCTTTAAAGCACCTCTGCTTTGTGGCAGCCCCTGAAATATTGGAACCCTGCTATCATGTCACCCCTAGACCTTCTTTTCACTAGACATACCCAATTTCTGCAACCCTTGTTCATATATGATAGCCGGCATCGCCCTCAAAATAATTAACTTTTGTTGCACTTCTCTCTTTCGAGAATCTCAACATCTTTTTTATATTGTGGCAACCAAAACTGCATACAATATTATAAGTGTACTCTTACCAAGGTTTTATAAAGCAGTACTAATACTTCATGTAACATGATTCTACCCCTCTTAATGCGACCTCAGATTACATTGGCTTTTTTGGCTGCCACTGGACACTGTTGGCTCATAGTTAAGTGATTTTCCATAAGATCCCTCCTATAGTTATGGCTGTTAAACCAGGTTTCACCTAATCTGTATTTATATTCCTCAGCCAGAGAGTTGCGTTGTTCTTAACACCCATCTGCTTTGAAGAGCCCTCATCCAAAGTCAACTCAGTTGTTGGACCGAAAGCTTTTGGTGGCTTAACTGCTTTCTGTTCAATAGGAATCCAGCTTCCCCTTCAGCACTGCCCTATTGTCTTCTTCAGAGGTCCACCCTGTATTTCATTCATCTCTGTATGGAAGGGCATCAGACTGAAACATTCTAGCCAACAAGTTGAGTAAGGCAACAACAATGACAACCACAGCATCATAATGAGGTGTTGTAAATATGAACCTCTGGAATGGACTTTTTTGATCCTAAAGAGTAATGTTATTGGCCAGGAATGGTTATGGTTAGAAGAGGCTGAAAGAAAGGAGGGATAATAAGTGGGTAATGATGGATAGACTGCAGATGACTCTGTTCATTTATTTTTTTGTCTAGTTTTGTCATGAATCTGGAGGTTCTTTCAGGAGATCACAGAAATGTCACGGTGAGCTAAAATAAGTGGTTAAATAAAGTGGGATTGAAATGTAGCTTTGTGCCATGGAGAGGCTGGGAAAGTCAAAACTATTTGTATTTAATCTTAAATTTGGTTTAGAACACTATTTTTTTCATAATAGATAGCCAGGTTGTTTTGACTAGAACTGAATTTAGCAATGTCAAGGTCTGGATTTTCAGAATAGACAACTATTGTTTATGTATGGTATCTGTAACTTCTGCTTTACCCAAGAATTGAGATTTTATACATAACGTTCTTCCTTCGTTTTGTTCATCAAAAGCCCCCAGATCTTTTTCAGGGAGGTGGAACTGAAAAATTATGACATAGGATCTCAGTCCAAGTCCCATGTCTTACTGGCTACAGGTACTCCTAGACTTACAACAGTTCATTTAATGACTGTTCAAAGTTACAATGGCACTGAAAAATGTGACTTATGACTGTTTTTCACAGTCACAACTTTTGCAGCATCCCCATGATCATGTGATCAAAATTCACACTCTTGGCAAGTGGTTCATCTTTATGACGGCCGTAGTGCCCCGGGGTCATGTGATCCATTTTTGTGACCTTCTGACAAGCAAAGTCAATGGGGAAGCCAGATTCAATTAACAGTTGTGTTACTGTGTAACTTAACAACTACAGTGATACATTTAACAACTGCAGCAAGAAAGGTAATAAAATGGGCAAAACTTAAAACATAACTTAACAACATGTCTCACTTAGCAACATAAATGTTGGGCTCAATTGTGGTTATAATCTGAGGACTTCCTGTATATTACAACAACTACTTCAGTGCAGTCAGCTGTACTATTATGATTTTTAGAAAAGATAACTTCACTGACCTGGATCTGAATTTGGCACATATCACTCAACTACACAAAAGCTTTGCTTGCAAAAAAACAGAGAGTTGCATCAGAGAGCAAGAATGCAGACATTAAAATAATACAATAATCATATTCCTGTCCTTAAGGAATTTGCTTTGATGTACACCAGCCACTCAAGTATGCTAAGATGGTTTCAAAAGAGAAGACATTTTCTTCTGGGTCTGGGTTCAAGAACAAAAGAAAATGTAGAGACATTGGCATCTGCCGTCTCCTTTAAGAACCTTAATCGTTTTTAGCTTGATTGTTGCGCTTGAATTATTTGACATCAGGAGCGTCTTGGAGAAAGATTGTGGTCACCATCCTAACCTTCTTGGACTCTCTTGCAGGGACATTCAGCCCCAACATATAAGTATTCCTCAATTGATGATCACAATCAAACTCAAAATTTCCATGGCTAAGTTAGACAGTTGTTAAGTGAATTTTGCCCCATTTTACAGTCTGTCTTGCCAGAGTTTTTAAGTGAATTACTGCAGTTGTTAAGTTAGTAACATGGTTGTTAAGTGGATCTGGTTTCCGTTGACTTTGCTNAGATAGATAGATAGATAGATAGATAGATAGATAGATAGATAGATAGATAGATAGATAGATAGATAGGACAGAGAGACAGACATAAGAGAGGGAAAGAGAGGGAGGGAGGGAGAGATGACAGAACTGCCAAGGATGGCTACATAAATGGCTCTTATGAAGAAATGTATTTTGGAGCAAAGAATCAGGGCCATTCATAGGGTTGCAGCATAGAAGTTTTCTTCAAGCTTATACACAGGAATCCAGTCAACTAAAGTTCAACACTAAATTGGTGCCAGATAAGGGTTGACAGAATTCAAGATTCCAAGTTGCACTTGGAGTTCATGTGGAAACGCAGTGACCCTAAACTGCTGACATGCCACACTCCACCCTCAGCTCTCCCTGCTCTCCTCTTACAGTTTCTCTACAATTGGACGCCTTTCGTGGACTTTTGCCAGGGAATGAAAAAAAAAGTCAATTTATAACATATGGAGTTGATGATTGTTAACATTAAGAAAAAGATTTCCCCCTTTTTGGGGAGAAAATACACAGTGTATTGCATGTTAAACTGAAAAATTGAATGTCTTTTTTGTAAGAAGTAATTCTTGGTATATATTTTTGTTTTCCTTTCTTCTTTATATCTTTCTGCCCCTCTATTTCTACCTCTCCTTTCCCTCTTCCTCTCTCTTCCTGAATCTACGCTAGTTATTATAAAAACAGAAGTATACATGTTACCAATGTAGTTATTCAATGAATCTTGTTGGGTTTTGAGACAACGTTAAATAAAAACCACGATGAAAAGCCATTTATAAATCCAAACACCGCAGAATCCAGAGGAAAATTGGGACAGAAGAATTAGAAATCAAGAGTGACAAAACATGCCACTTGTTGTATAACCATGAACTTTAAAAATAGCTATAGAAATGCAGATGTGCACACAGTTTGTGCTCTTGGAGATGGAAAACAATAAGTAGCAAAATCCTTCCCCACAAATAGAAGCCACATTAAATTCAAGGCTTCTACCAAATCATTCTGCAGAAGAACCAAAATTTATTGAGCCATTTCTCACATTTGAGGCCAATATGTTATGGTTGGGGGGAGGGGGGAATAATGTATGTGTCTTAGAAGTGAGTGCGCATTGGTCGGAGTGTGGTAAAAGAATTGTGAGTCGACTTTCATAAGTGTACTGGGGAAAAACCCACAAAAGAACACTTTGTATTCAGAAGTATATTTATGCAAAGGCCAACTCAGTAATCAAACGTTAATTAACATTTGTCCCAACCACATTCAAAAAGACGGTTGCATTTAATCCAGACAGACTTGGATTCCAAGGTAGCTAATTCAGAAATAAACCTAGATTAATCCTGGCTTGTCCCAGAGGAATGATCCAATAGGATGTAGCTATCTCGTCTGTTTTAGCTTCCTTGGAGAAAGGCTGAAACGTTACCGAAATAAGCAAGCCAGATGTGGTACAAAGTCTTGATTTTTTTTTTAAAAAAAGACTCACCTATCAAATCCTACTCAAAAGAGGAAATGCAGCAGGGTGGATTCTCAAGTTCTTGCAATTTTTTTTTAATGCTCCTTCTTGTTCACATTGTTTTACATTGCTTTTTAAAGGTTTTCAATTGTAATATGTTTCTAAATTCTAACCTGCCCTGTTATTTGCTGCGATGGGCGGCTAAAAAATCATAGATAGATAGATAGATAGATAGATAGATAGATAGATAGATAGATAGATAGATAGATAGATAGATAGATNCTATTTAAAGCACCCTTATTTCTCCGTGCTCGCTGTTGTCGCCCTGTTGATGACGTCGGCGACGCGGTTTCATCGAGCGCGCTTTAGTCGAGCGCGGTTTTGTCGTGCCACGCCCTTTATTATCTCTTACAAGATAGTAAGGAACTTAAAAGCATACGTATTTCCAATTCATTCAGAAACTGTTCAAATTTTCAATGATAGTGAACAAGTACAGTACTTACAACCAGTTCTTGGGACCTACAGTCATCGCAGTGTCCTCTGTGGTTATTTAATTGTGGTCTGGGTGGACAGTGACCTGTCCTCAATTATGGTATCATGGCACCCCATGGCCATGTGATTGCCATTTGCAATTTTCCTTGTCAGCTTTCTACAAGCAAAGTCAACAAGATTTAGGCAGAATGTTGCAAATGGCAACCCTACGATATCCTCTCTTAATTACAGCAGCCACACAATTTCCATTGTTAAGCAGCGTGGTCACATATCACATCACACTTTAGGGCCATCCCATTTAGCAATGGAAATTGCAATCAGAATTGCTACTGTATATTGTACAGGTAATTTCTTCTTTCATACTGGCATCCAATCATAAGGAAGAGAGCAGGTCTAAACAACTTGGCATACAATAGTAGTGCATGGGAGAACTCTAGATACTGAGAGGAAAAAAATATTTTCTATAATTACAAATGTGCATTATGTTTTGCACATTTGCTTTAACAACATACCGTGGGGGAGTCTGGAATCCAGTTTGCAGGGCAGACTTCTCCATGTGTTTCCACATACTGGAATGCTTTCACCAACCGAAGTGTTTCTTCTACACTGCGACCCACTGGGAGATCATTGACACTTAAATGCTTGATGATACCATTAGGATCCATGATAAAAAGGCCCCTTAAAAAGTAAATGCATCTTTTAAAATTGAATATATACTTCCTGGAAAAATGACTTTACAATGTAAAACACACAGAGACCTCATGTTTACCAGTGTCCCATTCTTCTTTCTCTACTGGATAGCAGTGAAAAAGGCAGCTGAATTTATGTAATTCGTTTGCTTGTAAAAGAGCCAGTTCTAATTCTATTGGGAGGTTAATGTAGCTTCCACTGTATTTTCCACTAGTCTTTTAAAAGTATTGTTTATATTTACTCTGAAGACTCTGAAGCCATAACAGACTGCCAGTTTAAATACAGCAAAAAAAAAAAATAATACTGCACATCAGTAATGTCATATTTATCTTTTATTCATGAAGATTTACCGTATATATGAAGTTTACCAACATGAAAATGTTTAAAAGAGACTTAACTGACCAACTGTAATCAAGGCAGACAGACAAGATTGATAGATAGTTATGTAGATAAGAGGGAAGGAGGGAATTTCAGCTCTTGCATAATAGGGGAGATTTAACATATTTCCAGTCTTCTATCCATGAGAGTCCAGAAAAATCAAAAACACAACAGTATTTTATTCTGTACTACATTCTATAAATAAAATATTTTTCAAACTTTCTGAAAATCTTGTAAACAATTAAGAAAACTCTTATTGATTGTGGTGGTGTGGATATGTGTAAAATTACTGCTCCTATAAAATTAATCTGTCTCTAGTTGGCTAAGGCAGGTTAAAAGGCATTTTAAGAATCTGCTGAAAATATTATCTGATACAAATATTCCTGTGTCTTCTTCAAGACGGCAAGCAAACTCTGCTTCCCATGGCCAGGGAAACTACAGCCACCACAACCAAGTCCTAGTCCAGTGTTTCTCAACCTTGGCAACTTAAAGATGTCCGCACTTCAACTCCCAGAAAGCTGTCTGGGGAATTCTGGGAGTTGAAGTCCGGACATCTTCAAGTTGCCAAGATTGAGAAACACTGTCCTAGTCACTCTTGCCATCCAGCACTTCATAACCTTTGCCACTGCCTCCTTGCTCCCACTCCTGAGAGGTTGTGGCCTGCCTGGCTACTGGTCTACAGAATGAAAAAGAAAAAAAAGGAAAAGCAAAAAGCAGCTCAAAGGCGGCAGAAAATGCAAAAATGCCCCTTTGTATTGCACTCCTAGTCTATATGGGCTAGCTTGGTGCTGCAAAAAAGGGAAAAAAGAGGGGAGGCAGCTTTCCACACAAACACACCCTTCTCCCCGCCCCCCCAGCCCAAAGTCGTGAACTATGTAAGCTTCAGGAAAAGACAGATTTAGTTCACACAATGTACTAAACCAGGAACTTAGGTTTACAAACTGCAGCACTAAACTTCACACAATGTACTAAATTAAAAAGAGCCGAGGTGGCGCAGTGGTTAGGGTGCAGTACTGCAGGCCACTTCAGCTGACTCTTATCTGCAGTTCAGCGGTTCTAATCTCACCGGCTCA